ACAGACCGGACCTTTGTCTCCGCCGCCGGGGCAGGGATCTGAGCGAGCCCCCAGGTTCGCCACCCCGATGGCGCTGCTTTTCCTGGCGGGCCCGGGGGAGGGGCTGGTGGTCAGGTTCATACTCAGCCATCAGGGAGGAGTCCCATCTCCTGCCACTTAAGAATAGTAGCAGGACGCCGAAACCGGTTTGGCTCAGTGGATAGAGCGTCCACCTGCGGACTGAAAGGTCCCGCGTTCGATTCCGGTCAAGGGCATGTACCTTGGTTGCCGGCACATCCCCAATAGGGGGTGTGCAAGAGGCAGCTGATCAATGATTCTCTCTCATCGATGTTTTTTTTTTTTTTTTTTTTTTTTTTTTTTTTTTTTTAATATATTTTATTGATTTTGTACAGAGAGGAAGGGAGAGAGAGAGAGAGAGAGTCAGAAACATTGATGAGAGAGAGTCATCGATCAGCTGCCTCTTGCACACCTCCTACTGTGGATATGCCCGCAACCAAGGTACATGCCCTTGACCGGAATCGAACCTGGGACCCTTCAGTCCCCAAGCCGACGCTCTATCCACTGAGCCAAACCAGTCTCGGCTCATCGATGTTTCTAACTGTCTATCCCTCTCTCTTCCTCTCTGTAAAAAATCAATAAAAAATATATTTTAAGCCGAAACCAGTTTGGCTCAACTGTACAAAATCAATAAAATATGTTTAAAAAATATATATATATATATAAATATATATATATATATATATTTTTTTTTTTTTTAAATAAAGAAAAGAATAGTATCAGGAGGCCACGGTTAGACTGAAAGCACTCAGTGGCCTTGGGGGAGCGCAGTGTCTCTGAAACTCGCACCTAAAAGTGACCAGACGTCACGATTTTTAACAATTTGTCCCGCGCCCCTTGGCGTTTTAAAAAAGTCCCGATTTAAAAAAAAAAAATTGACTCTTTCTCTCCCTCCCTCCCGCCAAAAATCGGGACTGTCCCGCCAAAAGTGGGACGTCTGGTCACCTTAACTTCAGGGTGGGTAGCAGGGAGGGACTGAGGAGGAACCCAGGCATCAGAGAGGCACTGAAGGGGCGGAGGGACAGGCCGGAGGGCTTTCGGGGCCTCCTGATGGGACTGAAATTAATTTACCTGCAGGGAGTGGGGGGTGAGGCGCTCATCAAGCCGGTGACTCCGGCATGACCCAGCTCACGATCTTTGATCTGGGGGGGGGGGGGGGGCTCAGAATGCAGCCGGAGGCTTCTGCTGCGAAGACTCAGAAAGGAGCTGGGAGGACTGATGAGAACAGGAGCTCGGGGCGGTCTGAGGGTCTGAGCACAGGGCCACCTGCCATTCCAACCCCTTCCTGCTCCCAGAGCCACTCAGACCCCTCCCCACCCCCAGAGCCACATGAGGTGTCTGGTGCAGCCCACTCTGCCCTGAAATCCACTACAGTCTGACTCCATCTCTGCTTTCCTGTCCCCTTCGAGTCTGCCCTGCACTCCCGCCCCACCATCGGCCTGGCCATGTCGGTAAGCTAGAGCATCAATCATTTCCAAACCCCCCTTCTCTCCCCTCCCGTGTCCTGGTGTCAGGTTGCAATGGATGATGGGGGACCAGGATGGGCTCTGAATTGGGGGACTGGGTCAGTCCTGCCAAGAGACGGGGGAGGGACCAATTGGCTTTGGAAGGGTCCCCTCTCTCTCCCTAGCCAGCCTAGGCAGAGTGGGAAATGGCTGGCATCTCCCCATGTTCCAGGCGAGGACACCAAGGCACTTAGCAAGAGGAGAGGTCATGGGGCCTGAGCACTTGAGGAATTGTCTCCTGGGAGCTGACCTGCCTTCCCTGGGCCATCGCCCCTCCCCTTTCCTGAAACAGTAAGGCTCATCCTGGGCAGCCAGTGCGGTGGGCGTGTGAGATCTGATTCAGAGTCAGACACCCGGGGTGGGGACCCGGCTAGGTGACCGGTGTGCTGCTGAAACTCTGAGCTCCAGTGTCCCGATTTCTCACGGGAGGACTGGTCATCTTTGCCTGAGGGGCGAGGGGCGCATGCCATGGCGGGGGTGGAAGTGCTTTGTGAACAGTTCAGCTCCCAAGCAGATGCTTCCCTCGGCGCAGGAGGTAGGTCCCAGCTGCCTGCCCAGGTGTTCTCCCGTCCCCTGTGCTGGCCCAACATCTGTAAGAGAGGTTGGAACCAGGAGGGTGGAGCCAGCAAACCTTTTCCCTGCAGGTGTGTGTGTGTGTGTGTGTGTGTGTGTGTGTGTGTGTGTGTGTGTGAGAGAGAGAGAGAGAGAGAGGGAGGGAGGGAGGAAGGGAGGGAGAGAAAGAGTCAATAGGGTCATTGAATTCAGTCTTATTGGGGCAGGGGTCCGCGTACCCACACCTGCCGTGTTGAAAGATGGCTACAGACACATTCCTGAAGCATCAAAGGGCCTGCTGTACTGTGTGGGAGACAGACAGGGAGGAGGGTGGGCTGGGGAAGGTGGGGAAGTACCTGGGGGAGGCGGACGGAGAAATGTGGGGACCTGCTGTTTCCTTGCCCTGTGCCCTCTCCCAGGTGTGCCAGGCTCACTCTGGGCTGGGAGCTGGGTGTGGCCGAGTAAGGAGGCCTCTGACGCAGGCACTGAGGAAGTCAGAGAGGAAAGAGTGCCCCCCCCCTCTGCTGCCCCAATATCTCCCTCCCATGCTCTGGTTTCTCTTCAGATCGCATAAATCTTTCGCCTTTTACCAATATCTCCCTCCCACGAACAGCCTCAGGGACATGAGCAGGAGAGAGTCCCCACCTCCCTGCCTGTGACGGCCTGCCACTCTGCAAGTCGCCAGCCCCACAGACCCCTAATCAGAGTGACAGCTCCAGAGAGCCTCTGGGGAGCATGCCTGGAGGTCCCACTCCCGTCCCTTTATCACCCTCCCAGGGAACAAAGACTGTCCAGGAACAGAGCAGTGCGTTCAGGCCCCTCAAGCCTCCGTGAATGTAGGTGTGGCTCTCTCCGCTACCCAGGCTGCCCTGTAGGCCTCACCGGAAGGGCTCTCGGCTCTGGCCCAGTCTTGAGGTCCCTATGCCCCCACCATCAATAAGGAGGGAATATGCAAATTGATGCAACAAAGTGAGAGGCGGAAGGCAGCTATGGGGGCCAGAGAGAAGGGGGAAAGATGGCTCCGGCCAGAGCAAAGGAAGAGTAGTTGCCAGGGGAGGGGGCTGGGGAGTTGGGGACGAAGGGAGACGCAGGTCAGAAGGAACACATTTCCAGCTCTTCGATAAATAAGGTCTGCAGCCTGTGACATAATGCCCAGCATGGCGACCACATTAACCACGCTGCAGTACATAACCGAAAGGCACGAAGAGGGCGGATCTCAACTGTTATCAGCACACACATGCAAGATCATAGTCATCTGAGGGGACAGAGGTGTCGACTAATTTATTGTGGTAAATATTTGATTATATATATGTGTATCTAATCATCACATTGTACACCTTAAACTTACATGTTATCCTATATAATAAAGACAGAATATGCAAATTGACCGTGACTCCTCAACAAAAGATGGCGGCACCCACAGCCAATAAGGAGGGGATATGCAAATTGACACAACAAGGTGAGAGGCGGAAGGCGGCTATGGAGGCAGGAGAGAAGGCAGAAAGATGACTCTGGCCAGAGCAAAGGCAGTGCTGGCAGCCAGGGGAAGGAAGGCCCATTCTTGCACACATCTTTGTCCTGACGCACAAAATGTGTCAATAATATCTCAATAAAGTGGGGGGAAATATGAGTTCTCCAAACAATGGCTTAGGGGGTGGTCTGTAAGTATTTGATGAATTAATGAGTGCCTTTTGGACTCCACACACACACACACACACACACACACACACACACTCTAGAAACATCATATGATCAGATATGCTTTTACTCAAGATTCACACCCTCAGTGTCCCCAAGGGCTCAGGTGGAGGAACTGGCAGCAGCCATCAGAGCACCCGCTGCTTTGCTAATGCAGTGACCTCCACCTCCTATGTCCCTTCTCCCTTTCTCCCTGTCCCAAGCTCAGCACGCCCACTTCCTTCCGGAGGCCTTTCCTGGTGCCCCCGGGGATAACTGACCTCTCCCCCCGGGATATCCCTGGGGATACGTCCCACGAAACACACACAATATTTATCTGCTCTTTCTGTGTCTGTCTCAGCCCGAAAGACAGATTCGGTCTTGGCCGGAAGGGGGAGGGGCTGTGAGGAGGGAGACTGGAACGTATTTGTCTCCAGGCCTCAGGCGCTCGTGCAGAGAACACAGTGGGTGCCCACGTATTCACCAGAAGAGGCAGCCTGCTGAGAGTTCAGAGTGTAGCCCTCTGGCAAAGCCACCGACCTGGGCTGCAAGCTAAGTCTCCAGCGGCCGCCCCCAGAACCAGGCAGACGTTCCCACCCTTTCCAGCTCCCCGCACCGGGCCTGCCTCTCCTCATTTCCCCCATGGCCCCTATGGGCCTGTCAGCCGGGATCACCCTCACGAATTCATTCACCCATTTTCCCCAGAAATCAGCCAGCTGCCCCTTGGTGCTTGCAGCCAAACCTCTGCAAAGTCATCGCAGCCAGGGAGAAGCAGAAATCCTGGCCGGGAGTCCAGTGGACGGAGGAACAGGGGCTTCCCTAGTCCACCCCTCGGCAGGAGTGTCATGCACCTTGCTAACCATGACCTTCAGAGACCACAGCAGCATCCCGGGATCCCCTGCAGGCGAGGCCTTTGTCCGAAAGTCTGTCCCTGCCAGGGACTCCAGACTGGGGTCATGATCCCAAAAGACCCCACAGGGAGGCCCTTCCAGACCAGAAAGACCTCAGAAGAGGCGTTAGCCCGAGAGACCCTCAGATCCAAGAGGGTTGTCCAAATGCAAATGCAATATATAGAGACAGCATCTGGGGGACTTCAGATGCTAAAATGCATCGAAGGTACCCCAGACCCCAAGACCCCACAGAGAGAAGCCACAGACCTTGGAGGGGCCCGGAGCCAGGTTTGTGGGCACAGGGCCCCCCTGCACTGACCTGGCCCTGCGGGGGCCTTTCCCAGGCTGAGCTGCCGCAGCCGCCTCTGATGAGCCCTCCCTTCGCAGTGCACCTGGGCCTGGGCCGCCGAGTTCAGCTGGATGTTGCAGACGTCACAGAGCGTGAACGACGGCCGCTTCCTCTCGCGCTTGGGCTTGGGCGGTTCTGGGGGCTGAGGGGGGCACTCGGCCGCTCCAGATACGGGGGGCTCCTTCTCGGCAGGGGGAGACGGGCTCAGCGGCCGCTTCATTCCTGAACAGATAGAAAGGGAGACAAATACAACAAAGGCTGAGTGTTGTGAGCACACAGGAGGAGGACGAGGGCCTCCAGATCCAGAGATAGCTGGGACTTTCATCCCAGCTGGACGTCCCCCGCTTCTGGAGAGCCCCAACCTGAGGGTGGCCAGGGGAGCAGAGTGGGGCCTATTTCAAACAAAGCAGCATTCATGGCAAGGCGGGACTCTGGAAGAGAGTCAGGAAGGTGTGCACACGGGGCGGCCTGGGCCTGGGGGCGCAGCCACAGAGCGGGGCTGAGCGTGAGGGGAGCTCGGGTCTCAGGGAGCAGGTGGGCACGCGGGCCCAGGCGGCAGTGAGCTTGGTGCAGCCCCGTGTTGGGAAGCCAACGCTCCGTCCTCAGGGCCCTCGGCGCCGGGGCAGGCGCTGACAATCCTGACAGGCAGGCATGTGGCGCTTGCTGGAGGCACAGCCGTCGCTGGCCAGGGTGGTGACTGCAGAAACCCAACCTCCCTGTGGCCAGGGCCCGGCCTGCTGACATTCACAAACGGTGGCAGCGTGTGAAGCATCGGCACCCCGACCCACGTGGCTCCAGATGGTCCCTGCGGTCTTGGCCATCCAGCCTGTGGCAACAGTTGGTGTTGGTAGTGGAGACCTCGGCCTTACACAGACACCACACACACACTCATACACACACACACACACACACACAGGCACGCACGCACGCACGCACGCACGCACGCACGCCCTGGTTCCCACAGAACTGGCACATCACCCCCACAGGCCCCTCATCTCCAGCCTTCTCTTTCCAACTCACTTCTCTGGAGCTTTCCCACCGGACGCCTCTGCCTCTCAGGGGCTCTCTTCTGGGGCTGCTCAGTGCCCTTCCTCAGGCTGACCTGGGCCAGCGTTCACTTCCCTCCTGCACCGCTGTGCGTGCCTCCTGCCTCTGCTTTAGACCGGGGGCTTCCTGAGGGCGGGGCCTCTGTCCCCCTCACCCGGACCGAGAATTCCTGAGGTCAGGGACCCTGTCACTCTCTCTGATTGGGGGATCCCCAAGGCTCACACCTACGTGAGGCATAACTGAGCCTCTCTCATGGGCTGAACTGTGTCCACCAAGAATTCCCACGTTGGGGTCCTCACTCCCAGTACCTCAGAATGGAACTGTGTTCAGAGAGACGGTCTTTAAATAGGTGATTACATGAAGATAAGGCCAGTAGGGTGGGCCCTGACTCAACAGGACATGTTCTTGTCAGAAGAGGAAGCACAGACAGTTACAGAGGGAAGGCCACGTGAAGATACAGGGAGAAGATAGCCATCTGCAAGCCGAGGGGAGAAGCCTCTGAGGAAACTGAGCCTGCGGACACCTGCATCTCACATGTTTGGTCTCCGGAGCCATGAGAAAATACATTTCTGCTGTGTAAGCCACCCAATCAGTGGTAACTTCTTATAGCAGCCCGAGTGAACTCACACAGCCCCTAAAGAGCATTTCCCGATCCTGAGGCTCATGCCCATTTTGAAAATTAGACCAAGTGAAGCCAAAACCGGTTTGGCTCAGTGGATAGAGCATCGGCCTGCGAACTGAGGGGTCCCGGGTTCGATTCCAGTCAAGGGCATGTACCTTGGTTGTGGGTGCATCCCTAGTGGGGGGTGTGCAGGAGGCAGCTGATCGATGTTTCTCTCTCATTGATGTTACTAACGATCCCTCTCCCTTCCTCTCTGTAAAAAAATCAATAAAATCTATTAAAAAAAAAAAAAAAAGGAAAAGAAAATTAGACCAAGTGAAGCCAACTGACGCCCTAACACTCTCATAAGCCCACACATCCAATGGTGGAGCCCACAACTGAACAAAGAAAGTGGATGTCTCAAGTCCACAGCCAAGAACTGGGGGTCCCCGGACCCACCCCCTGCTCTCAGAAACCTGCTCATCAATTTTGTGGGCAGTGCTCCCACATAACATATCTGTCATTGCATGTGTGGGGACCATGTATGAATGGAACAGAGGGGCACAGCGATTAACGGTGCCGGTGTGCTCAGCGGTTAGAGCGTCAGCCCACGTAACCAAAGGTCGCAGTTTTGACTCCCAATCAAGGGCATGTATCTGGGTTGCAGGTTCAGTCCCCAGCCCTGGTCAGGGTGTGTGTGGGAGGCAACCAATTGATGTGTTTCTCCCACATAGATCTCTCTCTATCTCTATCTCTCTCTCTCCTTCCCTCTATTCCCCACTTTTACTCTCTCTAAAAATCAACGGAGTCCTAACCAGTTTGGCTCAGTGGATAGAGCATCAGCCTGTGGACTGAAGGGTCCCAGGTTCGATTCCTGCCAATGGCACGTACCTTGGTTGCGGACATATCCCCAGTAGGGGATGTACAGGAGGCAGCTGATTGATTTTCTCCCTCTCTCTCTCTCTCTCTCTCTCTCTCTCTCTCTCTCTCTCTCTCTCTCTCTCTCTCTCCCTTCCTCTCTGTAAAAAAAAAATCAATAAAATATATATTTTTTAAATCAATGGAAAAAATATCCTCAGGTGAGGATTAACAACAACAACAAAGCAACAAAAGACCAGTATGACTTCTATATTGACTCGCACCTGGGTTCAAACCTCAGCTCTGCAATTTACCTGCTGCGTGACCTGAGTCTCACCCCCCGCATCTGTATATCTGTAAAATGGGATGATGACTAACAGTTCTTAAGTCACAAGCAGAATGCAAGGATTAGCTGAACTGAAGATACAAAACGTTTCTCCGTGTCCTATAAAAGCCAGCTATTATTAACCCGCAGCGCGTCTGTGCTTCGCAGTGTGTCAGTGGAGTCACCGGATCTGTGTCTGTCATGGCCCACCTGGTCACTGCGAATGTCTCTGTTACCCCTGCTGCCCCGTTGTTGGTTCCGGTGGATCTGTGCTGCTCCGTCTGAGTGTTTCCCCTGGGGCAGCTGCGTCATCGCAATGTGAGTGTCACTGTGCCCGAATCATGGAATGAGACTGTCACTGACCCTCTGAGACTCGCCACGTGTGATGGCTTAAATGGTGCCCCCTCAGATTCGTAGGTTGAAATCCCAGCACTTCGGAATATGAAACACAAAAACCTTGTTTGGAAATGGGGTCATTGCAGAAATTATTAGGTTAAGACAAGGCAATACTGGAGCAGGACGGCCCCCTAGTCCAATATGACTAGTGTAATTCTTTTTTTTAAAAAAAATATATTTTATTGATTTTTTACAGAGAGGAAGGGAGAGGGATAGAGAGTTAGAAACATCGATGAGAGAGAAACATGGATCAGCTGCCTCTTGCACATCCCCTACTGGGGATGTGCCCACAACCCAGGTACATGCCCTTGACCGGAATCGAACCTGGGACCTTTCAGTCCGCAGACCGACGCTCTACCACTGAGCCAAACCAGTTTTGGCAAGTGTAATTCTTATAAAGGGGGGATTTGGACACAATCGTTCACACAGAGAATACCACGTGAAGACGAAGGCGGAGATCAGAGTGATGCTTCTTACAAGACCAAGGAATGCCAAACGTAGCCAGCAAACCACAGAAGCTAGGGCAGAGGCATGGAGCAGACTTCCTCCCTGCCCTCAGAAGGAATCAACCTCAATGACGCTTTGATCTTGACCTTCTAGACGCCAGAACTATGAGACAACAAACGCCTGCTGTTTCGACCACCTGGCTTGTAGTCCTTTGTGACAGCGGCCCTAGAAAACACACCACGGATTTGACTCTTGTGTGATCATGGGTGATGTGAGGGCCCCCTTCCCTCAGCATGGTGGTGTGGCTGGGATGCAGTACCAGAGAGAGCCTCCAGGTGGCGCAGCAGTGAGCACCAGGCGGCAAGATAAGAGGTGGAAGTCAGGACCCTTCCACGCAGGGAGGATCCCACTCCTCCACACTCCTGGGGCAACGACGTTGCCCCTCCGAAGCATGCCAAGCGCCCGAGCAATATGTCTGGAGTCCAGGACACAGCCCTGCCACACTGGGAAGCCACTCCCATCACCTTCTGAGAACCCCACCCCCATCTCCAAGGCTGCACTGAGCCTCTGCCAACATTCTGTGCGCTCTCACCTCCAGCTGGAGGTCACCAGAGCTATCTCCTTCCTTCACAAGTGTTTCCCCACCCTCCCAGCAGGAAGAAGGGGCAGGCAGAAAGCACCAGGTGCAAATACTGCAGGGGGGGAGGGGTGTCCAACTGGCCAGGGGAAGAGGTGTCAGGGTAATGAGATTTTTCCGGCCATGCCAAGGGAGCTGCCTGCCCCCTGCCAGAAAGGGGACAGGGAGGGTTTGAAGTCTCAATGCAATTTATGACAGGCGGGCCGGGGACAGGGCTCAAGAGAGCAGACAAATATCTGCCATGAGGCTGATTAAACCTCCGTGATATACAGCCTCCGGGCTCACCGGGCCCTCCCAGAAGCCGGGGCTGACTGTGTCCCCCTCGGCCGGGCTGCCAAGCCTGCCGCAGCCTGCTCTGCCTTCCCAGGCCTTCCCAGCTGACCCCTCAGGAGTTACACCGCTCTGGCAGAGCTAGGGCGCCCCCCAGAGAAGGTGGAGGGGTGGGCAGTTTTTCGGGCACACAAACATCCATCGAACCCGTCACCAGCACCAGCAGGCCCGCTCTCCCTGCCCTGGCCCCTGTTCAGAACCAGCATGACTCACCCTAGCCCAACAGGACCCACCCGTGGACAGGGCCTGGCCCACAGGCTCTCTTTGACAGAAGAGGAAACTGAGTCCCAGAACAGGAGAGTGGGCTTCCTTCAAAGTACACGGCAGGGCAAGAGCTGCGTCTAGAGACGCCCCCATGCCCTCTCTGCCTCCTCGCTGCCACGGCGACAACTGCTTCCCTCGGAGCTGCCTGTGTGCCAGGAGCTTTCCGCACAAAGGTCCCTCTGAACCTTCACCACAACCCCATGAGGTGGGCACTATTATTAACCTATTACCCCACATCACCGATGAGAGGACAGGCTCCGAGAGGTTTTATGGCCGGACCTGAACTTGTACTTGTCTGACTCAGGGCTCCCAAAG